AGATACAACACCTCTTCCAAAATTAATATAACGCAATATTAATTTTGTCGAGCAAACCAACGTTTGACTATATATGAGGAATTGATTTGGAGTGAAGAAAATGGAATTAGGAGGGTCCTATTTATAGATTTTCATGAATATCTTCGAATGGTCGTATCTTTTTTAATTCCAACCACTAGATCACATCATTTTAAAATTAATGATCTAGATCGCACTTTATTAAAAGGCCACACACATTCGAAACAACTCTTTGATATGCACCATTTGCATTTGAAAAGTTGTGTCTAGTAGACAAATCCTTTGGAGACTTTTTCAATTCACACATTTAAATCTTATAATTTAATCATTAATTTCAACAATCTCCCACATAAATGAAAGAAGCCGACTCAGAACAAGAAAGATGAAGAAGAGTACAACTGAAATATAATGCATCAGGATCAGTAGCTTTCGTTTGAATCTTCCCCAGCAAGAATCTATCGAACCTACTTGGCTAATCAGTGAATGCCACTCTTTGAATTGTCGGTCGTTATTGTAAGCCTAAACAATAGATCAAATACATTATCTATCATATCAAACTTTGGTTCTTCATTGTGTTCATTATTTTGACCCTGAACCGTCTTAGTTCTGTAAGTGCACTAGAGAATTTGCCTAAGTAAAATTCTCATAGAACCGACTAAGGTTGCACTGACATATGTGATGTTCTATAAAGAGTACCCTACAATACTTCAATTGTAATTTTTACAATTATAGTCATTGATAAAAGCATAACTTATCATAATCGATCTTTGGTAGACAACGCTTATTTGCATAACAGAAATGGGGATGAGTTAAAAACCTGAAGTGCTTTTCATCGAGTCAATAATCACTAGTTTTCCTATTGAACCTAGTTCGTAGAATCTTCAGTCGCCACGTTAGGTCTCCATTAAGCTGACTATTAGTTTAGGCTTTACACCTATTTCCATCGATGCGTAACTTATTCTCTCTAGATAACACATTTATAAACGGATCTGTTAGGATATCCTTCAATAAAACAATCAGCATCGTTTAATTTGAGAGCACCTGTCAAATATTATTATGTCTCGGGGGATGCCTAGACTTACCATTACATACTACATTCTATGCCATGTGATTTGTAGCTAGCAATCTTGATTAAATCATGGTTATCACCAAATATGGAACCCTTCCAAAATCTTTGAAGCCATCACACTTCCAACTTTGTTAAAAGTTCTAATTTCTTTCAATTCTCAAGTTATATTGGAGATTCCACAAAATAACTACACTCTTAATTGTAAATCATATTTACTAGTAGATTTTGAATCCTTGCAATGGATATATAGTTTCCAACATTATGCTCATTTTAAGTTTAACAAAATATCGAAGGCGAACTCAAAAATAATTTGGAAATTATTTTGACAGAATTTAGAGAAATAAAGAATTAGAAACCAATTCTACCTCTGCATTATGTTCATTATCCTTAGATTGTATAGTGAGACTAATTTCATGGCAAGAATGTACTTAAGATTAGACTTCAAATATATGAACCATACAAAGGGAATGCTATAATACAACAAAAAGCTGTGCTTTTTCTCCATAAATTTGAGGTCAGTTACATAATCTTATTCCACCATTTTGCACACTTCATTTCTAAATCTATAGAAGTATATAAAGAAACGAGATTCTTAGCAACTATGGCATGTCAGGTTATATACTGTCCTCGCCTTCCACTATTTGGTTTCTCGCTAGAAATCAAATAGATTCTTAGCAACGAGTAACATGCCATGTTATATTTGGTCTGCTCCTCTCTCTTTTAACATATTTTTATACTCAAATCGCATTAGTCTTATGAACACTAACCTCTTTAGAGAAAAAAATAGTAAACAATATGTTGATATCCAACACAAAATTGG